GCTTCACCTAGGCAGGGTGAAGGAGGATGCGAGCAGAGCCCGGGTGTAAGAACCAAAGGGGGGGGGGATCAAGAGGGAAAGAAGGGGGAAAACAGTTGGAAAAGGGAAGAAAAAAGGGTGGTTAGCAATCAGAATAAAACAGCCTGAAGAATCATGGAGGAAGTTTACAAGTGATGCAAAAATGATAGCATCTTTGGAACAGGTGCAGCAGAGCAGTGATTCTCACCCAGGGAGCCCAGGATGCCACACAGCAAACATCTCATCAAATAAACCCGGAGGCCACATCCCTGCAAGCAGGAACATGCATTTCCCCAGGGACAAGAGGCAGTGGGAGACCTTGTGCTGCTGCTGCTTTGCTGCGTGCCAGAGCATGCGTGGCACCCGCGCTCCCTGGGGATAATTGCCTTGAGTGGAGTAAGGGAGGCTGGGGCCAGCAACTGTTGGCCCCCCAGCAGCCTTACCTAGGGACCTGGGGGCCTCAGGGAGCTGCAGCAGGGAGCCTGCCTGGCATCCAGAGTGTGGCTCCAGTTTTGGGCCACATATGCTGCTGCCATGTATGCCACTTTGCTTTTATTTGGTATGGGTTTTCCTGACTCTGGGATCTCCAGGGTCACGAAAACCCCTGCGCTGCGAAGTAGCAGCATGGGGAACACCTGCATGTGCCACGTCCATGCTTTGGACCCAGCCAGAGATTTCAACCAGGAATCCTTAGTGTTAAACACACTGGCTTGCTGTGGTCTTCCTGAGTTCTTTGTAACAGACAACTTGCTCTGTTTTTTCTGCACTCAAAAGTGAGAAGGGTTTACAAGATACCTAAATGGCAAAGAGAAAGTAAATAAGGTTTTATTATTTATTCTTGCAGTACAAGAACTGGAGGTAACAAAATGAAACTGGTGGTAAAAAGATGAAAACTAACAAGGAAGTTTTGTTCACTCAGCTTGTCATTCAAGTTTGGAACTGGTTGCCACCAGATGTTGTGGAAACTGTTTAACCAGTTTCAAGAAAGGATTGGACAAATTCTTGGAGGAGAGGGGCATCAGGCAGCTCATAATTATGGGAGTTATGGATATAGCCTCTGAATTAGAACTTCCTAGACCAAAGTGCTGGAAGCTGCAAGTGAGAGAGGAAGGAGAGGAGGGGAACCAAACAACCCTGGTGATACTCAGTTAGTTCACACTCCCTTTCAGCATCTACTCTGCCACTGTGACTTGGGAGACTGGGCAAGACGGACCTATGATATGACCTAGTAAATGGCAATTCTTATGTTCTTATGAAAAAACGAGGCAGGCCTTGGAAAATGCCAGATCTTGAGTTTAAAAAGGTTGTGAACTACTACAGCAGAGTTAGTGCAAGAAGCTACTGGGATTTTTATTGCTGAGTCAAAAAAACAAACAAAATGTGAGAACTTTCCATCCTCACTGGAGGTCATGGTGGTTCTGTCTTTATATTGGGATGGATCCAACCCATATTTACTAAAAATCAGGTGCCAATTACATTTGCACAAAATCCTGCTGCTAAATCACCCTTTAGAACTCTGAAGCCCTGATGAACGAATCAGTGATCCCAACCACTTGGAGAAACTGCTGTTTCCTTTCTCAGGGCTTGTTTTCACAAAGAGATTTATTTCAAATTGTGATTTTTTTTTCAGTGCAACTGCTTTATATCGACTGCACAATAGCCACATCCAAAGGAAGAATTGTTTTCTTAACTTTCCTTCATTATAACATAGAATGCTCAGTTGCAAGTCTGTGAAAATATATCCTTTTTAAAAAAAATCTGTTGTTGCCAACTTGTCTTGTTTTCTCCCAAGATGGCAATGTTCAGTACCAAGAATAAAAATAAATATCAGTTGTATAGCATGTTATTCAGTATTGATCACTTATTATAAAGGAAAATGCGGTCTTATTGACTCGTGTTGTCACTTTACAGCTCCTTGTCTAAGTGTTATCATTGGCAGACATCTGCCTGCTAACAAGGATGAGGGTCCAAATTGTCCAGCTCTGTCTGTATAGGTGTCTTGTTCAGGCTCTTGTGCATCAAAGAACTGCCTGTTAGATACCCATTCATGGAAGGAGTGGTCGGTCCCACAGTACTTAGCTTTCAGGTGTCCATTAGCTATTTCTGTGAAGAAGTAGAGACTGTTCATCTCCCATACCAAACCTCACATGGATATGCATCTAGAGTGCTGCTAGAGGGTCTGTATTTTGTTTTTACTTCCCTTGTAAGATACATTCATCCTTGGTTTTGATATGATGTTTCACTGTTCCTAATTTTGACTCGTCCACTGCCATGATAATACCTTCAAATAAGCTATAGTTTCTGTACCTGGACCCCAGGCCCTCCTGTGCTCCCAGTAGAATGAAGACATCTAGCTTCTCAGTATAGATCCACTTGGAAGTACAGTGACTAGCACTAGCACAGGGCTAGTTAGAAAAACACTGACACCTGGAGCATGTAAGCACAAAGGTGGGACCTCGCTGCAAACCAGCATTTAAAAGTAAACATGACACTTGGTCACCATGACCATGGAACAGTAAATTTTATGTGGGTAGGCAGATTGGTTGGCCAGAACAGAATGTAAAGCAGTATGGAAAGGCAGTTGCCCAATTCAGAACACAGATATGATCACACAAATACTGTCATAGAACTTACAGTGATGTAAAAATATTATCATTTTCATGTCCCCATGACAAGGCATTTAGCAGAATTTGCAGATTTTGTTGAAATCAGACAGGGCTGTGATGTGAACAATTCTTGCTTTGATCAGGAGTAAAAATTCAAAGTTTGTCAGTGAGGAGTTCATACTTGTAGATAAAACCTTGGATGTAAAGCTGTGAAAAAGTTATGCTATGTTAAAAAAAATTCCATAAAGGATACCAGCCTAGTAAAATTTTGAAATGTTTGTTACTTGTCATGTTTACATATAGCCATGCATTTTAATTTTAATATTTTGCCTATTAATATAAAGCAGTTGTCTTCTTTCTCCTCTTGGTTCTCTTTCTTGCTTGTGTTGTCTCCCCCTTTTCCTCCCTTAATATAATAGGCTTTTGTATTCTCCATTATTTTTCCCTCCCACATATTAGGTCCTTTCCCTCATATTCTGTATTCCTTCTCTTATTCCTTTTTAAGGGTATACTGCATAGTTTCATGGATTAATGTGAAGTTTTATGTTCTTACTTCATTCTAATTAAAAATATAGTCCTTTGAAAGATTCAAATGCACAGAATAACTTTAAAATAGATATTCAATGCATCTTTTGTTCTTGTTTGTGCAATAGGCAGAAGATGCTAATGAGGCAATGAGTAAGTACCTTTTGGAAAAACTGAAAGTAAAAGAGAAATGGCTTGGAATCTGGAAGACCAATCCAGAGCTCTTCTTTATCAATTTTGAGGATGTCATTATACCTTTTGTTGGAGTACTTGTTGAGGTAATTAAATCTCTTTTTCTTTAATGACATGAATCAAACATAAGGATTTTTTAAAGTTCTATCGGCATGTGTGGGGCAGGGGGAGAGGAAAACAAGGTTCCTAACATTTTGCATACAATTATTATTGAGAGTTTTTCCAAATGTTTCTAGGAAGTTCTTAAACCCCTGGATTTTCCAGAGAAGTTCTGCTGTATGTTGTAGTCAAGTTTAAAAAAATAACACTCATGTAGTTGACTGTAGTTTCCAGGTTACTGACTGCAGTTTTCTCTTTGGTATTATATAGATTACTAGAATTTTGAAAGATGTCTGTTTTCATGCAATGGAATTGTTGATGCTTAGCCACCATTTTTTTCTGTCATAAGCATGTCTCCTAAATCCTTTTTATTTAGACTGGTGTCCAGTCTGTAACATCTCCTCTGGCTTCCCAAGTTTGGACCCTAAAACAAGCATCAAGAGAATACTTTCTTGCAAATGCAATCTCTGGGCATAGATTTAGAGGGTCAAGTACTCATGCAGCAAGATGAAAGGGAAGAGCTCTCCAACTTCTGTTTATGTCCAGTAATAAGAAATCCAAAAAGCTAGATCTTCCAGGAGGAGGAGGAGGAGGAAGAAGAAAACAAAATGTGACTGTCGCTAATTTACAAACTCACACCCTTTTTGGGTATTTGTGATGATTTCTGAAATGGGACAAAATCATCCAGTTAAGAGAGAAACTTAGAAACCAAAGTACCAGACTACAGAAGAGCAGTGGATGACTTTACTCCTGTTCTAGAGATGTTTGGTTCAGTTCCTACGGTTGCGTAGGGTCATGGGCAGGCACGTCTGGGCTGAGGTACCAATCAGGGACTGAGGTGCCAACCAGATTCAAAAGGAGCAAGCAGAATCTAAGGACAAACCACATCAGGAAGCCAGGGGGCTAATCTAAATGAAGGGTTTTAGGAGTAAGTCAGGACGCTTTGAGATAAGGCAGAGAATGGAAACGAAGAACAAATTGATTCAAGAAGCAGAAAGCAGTCAGAGTATAAACCAGTCAGACCAACAAAGCCAACTGCACAGGGGTTTATATAGCTACTCTGGTGATAGGGAGCGAGTGGAGTGTTAGGCCCTGCTGGAGGCTTGAGTGGGCAGCTGTGGGGTGGTGGGCTTGGCTCTGTTGGCTAGGCCATGGACTGACAACCATCAAGTTTGAGCCTTAGAAATTTTTCCAGAGAGATACTTAATTCAGTTTCAACTCACAACTCCACATTGCCTATCCTTCTCTAAGGACTGCACTCACAAAAGCTCATTATACTATGTATATAGATACTTCTGTTCAGCTGGGTTCTATTCAAGAGGTGTTTCTAGGAGTTTTTGTTGCAAGTTCCCCCCCTCCCCCCCATTGCATCCATTCGCACTAACTGGAAAGATTTTAGATCTCAGTCGTTAGAGTTGGTTTGCAACTCTGACTTGGAAGATGCTAAACTTCTGTGTCCGTCCATCCAGCTCATAATAAGCATCTGTTCTCTAGTCAGCTCATTTCACCAAAGTAAAGAGGCTTATCACTTAGTTTTTCAAAGCTCTAAGGATAGCTGGCAATAATAGCTTACCTGAAGAGAGAGGCCGTAGCATGCATTCCTATCTCAGTGATTATTTTGGTCAAGGTAATTAATTACAGGAAGTCACAGGGATATCTCTACAGTTCTTAATTAATTTTCCAAACCAAGCCTCTGACAATTGAGGCAAATGGCACTTGCTCCTGCTCCAACATGGGGAGGTAGTGTTGGACTCCAAACTGGAAAGAGTGTACCTCTTTAAGTAAAGTTCTGCAAAAGTCATTTGACTTCACTCAGCTGTTCTAATTAAAAGCCCAGGCCAAGCCTGCATCAGTTTGCTGGGTTTTGTGACAGCTGGTATTTTCTTGACTCTGTGAACAAAAAGTACAGGGTTAGTTAAGGAGGGTTTATCAAACACAGCATGGTCTTTCAAGAATATTGTAGCAGAGAACATCTTCCTATTTGACCATAAGATAACTGTTAGCCCCTTTTGTCTCTACCTCACACTTGGACCTCACCTTTAGTTGGTAGTCAACAATTACTTAAATCCTCCTTAGAGTTGCAGTTTTATTATTATTATTCAGGTATTATGAAGACTGAAATTTGTATTTCTGAGAGAGAGACAGGTTAGACCTGGACATTTTTCAACCTAAGGACCAAAGGTTACAAGTGAATGGAAATAAGTGTCATTTGGAAGTGCTTAGTGCTATTTCTGTTCTTAAGCAACTTCACATATATGCAATTGTTATACAATGTAAATGCATTCACTCAAATACCTATATAGTTCCTGTATATTCAGGAACTATAACTAAGAACTTCTACACCACTGATTCTCAATTGGGATTCCATTACCCTGTGTGAGGAAATAGAAAAACTTTACTCCCCCAGTCTGGTGCTCTGTACCTGCCCCAGATATTCATCAGAATCCATGGCTGCTCCACTGGGGATTACTGCTGCTGCTGCTGCCCACCTCCCAACAACACTTGTGCTAGCTGCCCCTACACCCCCAGCAGCATTCTCAGCTATAGGCAGAGAGACAGGCAGTTGTGGGTTTGGAATCACACTTTGCAGCCTGGCTTATTTCCTCTACTTTCTCCACTCTCCTGGGACTCACAGGAGGGGTTGTGGGGGCAGTCACTGGTATGTCAGACTCTGAAGATACAAACAGGTAGGGAGAAAGCAGACAATGGAAATGGCACAGCAGAGTTAAGTCCTTCCCCTGCTGTTCTCACCTGGCACTAGATGGATCAGTGATTCTCAACCTTTTGAACTTTAACACACTGCTCCATATTTTTTCTAAATTTAGATTGTAGTTTAGATTTTCCACTGGGATACCATGAAAAGTTGATCACCACTGTGCTTGACCATGTTTCTTAGTTTAGTTTTAGATAGTGACTACTACAACTGCCTGAATATTAAAAATAAGAAAAAAATTAACAAGTCAACCTGTTATTTTATAGCATAACATATCATTTAAATTAATGCTATACTGTTCCTTTAAAATGGAATTAAAAGATAATTTCACAATTGTATCATAGAACAATTCTAGAAATTGAACTTTTGTGCAGTTAATAACTTTGTGTGTAAGGACTGCAAGATCAGCCTGTACAAAAAAATAAATACATATTTTTTACATGATAGGTTACTTGGAAACCACCCCAGAGCTCCTCCTCTAACTTAAAAGCATCTATATCCATTGCTGAGCCATTTTCCTCTAATATTGCAAATATTCCAAGAGAGCTGGTTGATAATGTTTTAGAGGAATTGGACCACTGTGTTCCTCTGTTGGAAGTCTACCCTATTGAGGGACAGAATACTGCAGTATTTGATATTGCCCAAGCTTTGGATGTTGTGAGGTAACCAGCATTTTCTCATTTATTTTACTACTTGAAGATGTTGAAATGTTAACTACTAAGGTACTATATCTATAATAGTAATATTGGAAAGATAACTGCTTCATTAATAGTGTAAGAGTACTCAAAAACAAAACTTAGGCTAGAAACAGACATTGCTAAATGAAGCAGGTCAGCTGTGCCATGATGTGTCCCAGCACAGCTGATCTAATTCATTAGGTGAAACACATGGTCTGTTCTGCCTGTTGATGCTGCAGGACAATGGGCAACATATTCTCCTGGGGCTTGAACAGCATGGTCCTGAGTGCCTGCCCAGCCTTCCCTGCTTATGGAAACGAATCCATAATCCAAACCCAAATACTGTCTGCGTAAGTAGAAAAAACCCAGTTTTCCCCACTTACCCAGACGCCTCTCTGGAGATTCTGGGGCCCCATCTCATTAAAAAGGGAGAGCCAAGCAGGTGTGCCAAAGGCTTAAAAAGGGCCCAATTCTGCCCTGAACTTCCCAAAGTGCACGGAATCAGTCCCTTGAAGCCCCCAGAGCTGGCTGCTGGAGATTGCACGCTGCCCATGTTCTTTTGCCATAAGCAAATAGACATTCACTGCAGTAAAGCAGCACAAACTATTACCTTTTGTTGTGGCCACAAATTTTGGCATCTGTGGTGTGACAAATGGTAGGGACATTTATTTTCTTTCATTTTCTGCTGCCATAAAAAAAGATATGGCAGCTGAAAGGTGACATCTACTTTAACCTCTAGTTCAAAAAGTGTTAACAATGAAAATATATTTTGATGAATTACAGCTGACACCCCTAAAAAAACTTGCAGACCAATGGATTTTCTCAAATCAGGGATTTCATTTTTGGATCCCAGGTTCTGCGACTGCCTGATTCTGGAACTGTGACTCAACAGCTTGACTTTTTAGCCACTGGAAGTATAGGCACAAGTGCTTAGCACTTTATTTTGACTCAGCTGATCAAACTTCTTTTAACAAAATGTTTGCTGTTTGTTTTTTTTAATATTTAAAAACCATATTAATTACTTGAAACAGAACTGTTCTCAGGGAAGGTTTTCCTATTCAGTTGTTTTGGTTTTTTTGGTAAAGGAAGTTTAGGAATTGTTTCGACATTTTGGTAATGAAAACATTTCATTTTCCAGTTTGAAACAGCTTTGTTTTGAAGTCTTTAGCTATTGAGCACCACAGACCAGGTGCTCCAAGCATATTGTAGTAGAGGCCATATAAGGATGTAGATACATTCAGTAAACATGATTCTCAGCAAAAAATGGTAACAGGATAGACTCTATTTAAAAGTGTTGGCGGGGGCTGTTGGTGGGTTTTTATTTGGGGTTTAGGTTGGGTTTTTTTGCAAGGTATTCAGCATAAATACTAAGTATTTCAATCTCTTTCATTATGTTAATGAGTGTTATTTTCTTTGTCAAAAGCAAACAAGCAAGCCAATTCAGGCTGTTTTAAAACACATTCTAGCAATACTTAAAAATCTTTTTCTTAGCATTTTTCTGGATGTTTTTGTTAGCCTGACTGTCCAAAATAACAGATATTACAAGCTAAATTCTATGTTCTTAAAGATAGTCTTGTTAGATGCTTGATCCTCACAGTACAGGAAAGCTTACTCCTTCTCCCCCCCAGCCTTTTCTGTCTGGTAAGCTAGTCTCCCTTGCTTCAAAGACATCATAGCAGCTTTGTGATCCATAACTTTGGTTATTCTTCCTTATCATGCAAATATAGAGGTTAGTAAATTGTGCATGTATACACCTATCCCAGGACACAAACTCTTTTTTTCTGCTGCACAATATACCTGTCATGGATTCACCCCAAAACTGAGTTGCCTTTGGGGTTTGCCATGTGGCAGGTACAGATATTCTCCCAAATTAGATTTATGCCTAGGGTGTTTGGTTTCTGTTGATAGCTAGTATAAAGCTGGGTTTAGTTTTGTCATGTTTATAACTGTATTATAGTTTTTGATATAAATGTACTTTTGTAATTTCATGATATAGCTGGCAGATAATCAAGTGAGGTATTTAGCAAACACCCAGGGCTGCCTATAATAAAGAAATCAGTTCCAGTATAGAAAAGGCATCTGAGAAAAATGGCCCATCAGAGCCAGAAGAATGCCAGGTGTCTCAGGGAGACCAAGAACTCCTGGTGGTTTCTGGAGATGCATGAGCAATTAAAATCATGCTGATGAGAAAAATATCTGGTTTGAAGGTTTTGGGTTTTGTTTTGTTTTTTTAGAGTCTAGATATGATAGAATCAAGGTCTTTTGGATCCCAGGCTTTGGAGGTTCAGTGGTCCCCACAGCCAGGGCTGGCAGTTATCAGGAGATACGACAGGCCTCACAGGAGGGCTAGGGTATAGCCAGGCAAGTAAGAAATTAAAAAGACAAAAAGGTTTCTGTCTCCAAGCCTATGGTCAGTTTTCCCTGTATAGTTATTTTTCTCCTATGTAATAAGATTGTTTTTGTCTCCTTGATTGCTTGTGGAAAGGGTGATTTCTGGGCATTTTAGCACTGTTTGGTGTGAAAACATGATTCACAAGATAAACCCAGAGATTGCAGATAAGAGTCCATAGTGTTAAATCATTTTGAATTTTGACTTGAGATTTTTACAATTTCTTTTCAACAGAAAATTTCTCTATTATTTTTCCGTAGTAAAAACAAACAAACAAACCAACCCAATGAAAACTTGAGCTGGCATTTTCCAAGGGTTGTCTCAAGTCTAAAAAGGTTGAGAAATGCTACCCTAGTGTTTAGGCTCATTTTGAAAAAGCTGCAAGTACCTAAAGGAAGCCTTTTCTTTTGTATGGTAGCAGCTTTCTCAGTTGTAGAATTTCTTGCCCCCCCCATACTTTCTTGGTGTCTCACAGAGCCATGGTGTCTGGTCTGCAGGGCTTCCCACAGGTTGGGAAAATTGGTGGAAGGGGAGCTGTGGCAAGTAATACTGCTACCTTCCCCAGCTGTCAAATTTCCAAGCCCTCCAGAGTTGAGCCGCCATCCCTCCCACATAGGATCAGGGCCAGGTCACATCCCCTTCTCCCTTCCCCCAGCCTGAATCATGTTCCCTCTCCGAGGAAGGTGATGGACCACTCCCCCCCTCCCTGACAGGGCCAAGGCTGGGCCACTTGCCAACATCCCACCACCTGTTAGATTGGGCCCCCACATGCCAAATCTGGGCTGCAGATGGACCAAGCACACCGTCCATCTGTCCTGAGGGGTAAAAGGTTGGGCACCACTGGGCTAGAGGATTATTGAGAATGTGAGAGTAAAGAAAAAAAATTTAGTAAAATGCCTTCTCCCAAATGATACAAGCTATAAATTAAGAAATAAGAAAATCTGAGCCATTTGAGTATAAATTGCCATTGTATCAGAGCAGCCTGAGAACACTGAGCACTGATCCTGGTCATCTTATCTCCTTTTCAAGTGGAATTGTGCAACATAGCTTGGTTTCATTATTCCCACTCTTACAGCTACTTCCACTAGGTTTTTCCTCAGTATGTCAGCAGAGTCCCCTGGTCTATACTGCTGATATCAATTAAGACTTTTATTGCCAGAGCTAGATTTTTCAATGCATCCTGCAAAAATGAAACAAAGCAGTAGTAAAAAAAGGAGGATTATATAAAGCCATATTGGAACCTTATTTGAGGGAGCCTTTCTGTGTTTGTTTCATTTTTACAGGATGCAGCTGAATAATTTAGCCCTACTGATTTGTTGGGACTAGTATAGATCTGTTTTCTCTCTAGCCTTTCTTGGTCAAAATAGCCTAGCCTAGCCCAGCCCTGGGAATCATTGCACTAGGGAGTTAGAGAGAGCAATACACATTTTAAACAGCACGGAAAAAACAGAGTTTCTCTTACTAGTGTAGCAAAGCAGCCTGCTCTTTACTTCCAGCCTGTTTGTGCCAATAGATTCTTTTTTTTCTTCCAGTTTCCCTTCACAAGTGCCAGATTGGCTTAGCCTGCCACTTTAATAAGCTTAACAGCAACTTTTATCTAAACAATTGATTCTGGATGTCTAGCTGCTCACGTCAGCAACGTTCCAGGTCCACTGGGCATTCTGAATGGCTTTAAAGTTGTACTAAAATGTCCACTTTAAAGGGAGGAGAGTATCCCATTTTAAAGTAGCAACTGTAAAACCACTTCAGTAAGGTTAGTCACAGAGCAAGTAAAAATCTTTAAGCATGAACATTTGTGTGCTTTTCTGCTTTCTGTCCATCTTAGTCACTCTTTACAAATGGCTTGGTTTTCTTTGCTTTAAAAACCCCAGCAAAAACACAAAAACAAAAATCTCCTCTCTCTCTCTTCAAACAAAGGTTGTAGACTGAAGAAACAGCAAAGTGTTGAATAAATGGCAGAGTTCTTGTAGTCCTGAGGATAATTCTGTACAGTGAGGCTAGATGTACCTTTTCAGATCCTGTTATATCAAGGAGATGCCTTGTGACAACAGGATAAAACTACTCCAACCCATTTTAAAAGGATCCACCCAAAGCAGCAGAAGTGGCCACTTTCATCCTGTTGCTTACACTCTGGTGGTATCCTCCCTGTCCGCTTTCCACACCTTTGATGTTACTATTTTACTGTGGGAGGTTGCCTCCAGAGAAACTGTGGTCCTCTGCTCTGCCTGGTGTCTCAGGATTCCTGCCCCTCCACCTTCTCTCAGGTCTCCGACAGCCTAGTCAACATCTACTGGGCCTCTGGGCAGCCTGCCAATAACCTTGGCCCCTCTGTGGGGCATCTTCAGTGGCCTTCTTTCCTTCCTTTCAGCCACTCCCATGCCCCATGGCTTCAAAGCAAACAAAGTCAAAGCTAATCAGTTTCAGCTGGGGTGCCCTTCTCTAAGCTCACCCCCCTAAGCTTCTCAGCTCTGCTGGCTTTTCCCAGCCTGGGCCTGCTCCCAGTTCCCTCTCCAGTCTCTGGTACTGCTTCAGTGCTTCCTTCACAGAGAGTTTCTTCAATCAACACAGTTAGGGTCAGTCTCCATTTAGCCACAGT